CAACACACTAATGATGCCGCAGCCACCGTATTCCCCAGATCTGGTCCCCTGTGACTTTTTCTTGTTCCCGAAACTGAAGAGGCCCATGAAAGGACGACGCTACGCTACGATTGAGGAGATAAAGACGGCATCGAAGGAGGAGCTGAACAAGATCACAAAAAAAAATTTTTTGAAGTGCTTCGAGGATTAGAAAAAACGTTGGCACAAGTATATAATATCTGATGGGGATTACTTTGAAGGGGACAAAATAGATATTCATGAATAAATAAATAATTTTTGAAAAAAATTCGCGATACTTTTTGAATAGACCTCGTATAATCAGTCGAATTGTTCAGATTTACAGCAGATCTCCAGCTTTATCTTCGAGATCCTGATTGCTGCTATTATCAACAGGAAATGAAATCTCTTTATCTTCATAATGCAATTCTCATATCCACTTGTTCGTTGAAAACCACATCTCTAGATACAGAAATTTTTCCAGTTGCTTGGTCATAAAGTCTATAATTAGATGACTCTCTGTTATATCCGATAAAATAGAAATAGAAGTTTTTGGACTTTGTATCCCATTTTTTACGATACTGCTTTGGGATATGTGCAAAGCATTCAAATCCAAAAATCTTGAGATATATAAAGTGTAGTGCCCGTCCAGACTTCGAATGGCGTTTTACCTTTATTACGCTTGGAGGGTGTTCAATTTAAAACATAGATGGCGCAATTCATGGTTTCGGCCCACAATCGAAAATGGCAGTTTCGTCGAATGCAGCATTGCTCTTGCAAAACTAGGTATAGTTCTGTGCAGGATGAGAGAAAATCTTTTTTAGAGTTTTTCTATTTGATAAATAATTATTATAATCAAAAATAAATACAAAAAAGACAAAAAAAATTTTTTTATTATAGAAATACAAAAGAATAAATGGTACAATACAAAAGAAATTAAAAAAAAAACAACAAAGCAAAGTCCTTCCTTGACTTACACCTACTTTGTCGGTGTAAGTCGATGAGGAAGCTTTTAATCAAAAGGTGTATATTTGTAATTATATAGGTATAATAATAATATTATTATTATTATTACTATTATTATATTTTGAATCATGCTTCTTCTTGCAAAAATCTTATAGACGCCCATGGCTGCTACTTGTGGCAATTAAAAAACTAAATATAATAACTTATATTGTGTAACAACTTGCCCCGATCTCCCCTACATGTTAAAATTACAACTTTTAAAATTACAAGCATTTTTTTCAGTGAACAAACGTCCGGGACCTATTATAAAAATGAGTTATATAGATATTGTAAAAACGATAACTAAACTTGTAGATTTTAAAATGGTTCTTTCACAGTAAAAAAAAAACATTTTATATTAGTTTTTATACTAGTTTTATAAACTTTTAATTAATCGTTATTCCTAATGTTTCCTACATGGACACTTATAATGTATTAAAAATGTTTATTTGTAATGTACAAAATATTACTCAACGTTACGGAAAAACATTCTTTTAACATTTTTCAACGTTTTTGTTCTACTTGGGTTAATATGCCTTTGTGATTAGTTTATTTATTAAATTATAATAACAACTGTTTATTGTTTTCAGAAAGAGAAGCTTTAATCCGAGTTTGCACGTCTAATAATATGTTAAAATGTATTTATATATATATACTCACCGGCAAAAAAAACGGGCCACTAAAATTTTAGCACAAATTTTTAATATCTTCAAATAACAATAACTCAATGAATAATTATTGTATCGAGATGAATCACAGAAAATTCAAATTAAAGCTTGAACATTCCCTTTGACGATCATGGAGATTAAATTTGAGTTATATATAAAATGTAATAAACAATACAAAAAGATAAATATAGTAAGCTAATGAGAGTCAGCAACGATAAATGGCGCAATTATTTAGTGAACAATCAATAATCAGATATTGGAGTGATGTCTTCTTCATTTTGAACGGTTCGACTCTCTTTGGAGTCTTCCTCAGCAAGAATGATACAAATATAATTAGCTCACATGTCCATAATGCTTAAGTCATTCGCAATTTGGCAAAGATGCAACATTGTTAATCTGATATTTTTAGAAAAAGTCTTATTAGAGTGATAGTTGTAAACAATTTAAATGACTTATCATTACGTAACATGAAGCATATCTTGAAGCTTTATTGAACATATTAAAACTTAAAAAATAGAAATGTTAAAATTAAATATAAAGATTATACATTTTTTTAAATACACGTTCGTGTACGATGACGTGCTACTTCTTGTTAGATATGAATTATTCTCAAAGTAAGAGGTCACACAGTAAACATTAAGGTATTAAAATTTGCAATTATTATGCATTTTTTAGATGTAATAGTTATTAGCAACAATAACAGTTTAGAGTTAGATTGGTATCCAACATTCTCTGGACGGTACTTGAACTACAATATTTATTTTCACACCCTATTTCTCATAAAAAAGGTGTCATAAAGGGTATATTGGATAGAACTATGTTACTCTTAGGTCCAAAATTTCATTATAAAAATATTAAGTTCGTTATTTGTATATTACTGAATAATGACTATCCTGCAGAATTTGTTTTTGACACGATCAATAGTCGTCTAAAATATTGGAACGAATCTGATTTCTTTACATTAAATAAGAATAAAGTTTACTATTTATTTCTCTTTTATAACGCATGTCTTACAAATCGAAATTTATTTTCTTTTAGACTTAAATTTAATAATATTTACAAGGTTCATAATTTGCGCGATTCTATAACTCAATCGTACATATACACAGGCTAGATACTCTTTAACTCTCATTGGGAATGCTTCTTATTTCTATTATTTCTTTAAATATTTATATTTTTTTATATAATTCTAATTTTTATATTAAAATACTTATTATTTAAGTTATTTTTCGGAATATTACATTCTCTAAGTATTACATTTTTATTTTTCTTATTTTTCTTAATATTACATTCATATTTTACTATTACATTATTATATCGAGATCTAGTAGCGCCAAATGTTTTTACATAAAAAATTTTCCTATTTAAATTAAATTTTTTTGTTTTATACGGTTAACTCTTTAATTTTTTGTAATGACACTTGAATTGATCAAGGTAATGCAATTTTGTGATAATGTTTTGTATAATATTTTAAAGGAGAATTAAATAACCACTACTTCAGTTGGAAGAGAAAATGGCTTTGAATGAATTGTGATATAATAATTTCATTTAAGAATAATTTAATTTAAACCATTTAGATTGGAATAGGAAGATCCTTCAACAAGATATACGTATAATTAGGTTTTATTTCATAAAAATTAAAGATAGTACCATTTGGATTAAGTAAATAATAATAAAGAGAGTATCACTTGGGTTTTACTTTTTATTTTGATAGTAGAATTTAACTTGGCGCCGCAGTTGTTGATATCAATTCCTTTACAAATGATACATATTAGATTAATATTCATTATTTATTTAATTTGGCATGGTATAAAGAAATGGGATTTAACTTTACGCCAGTTCTTGATATCTTTTATAGGAATATCATTAAAGTTAATATTCTAATCCTTTATAAAACTAACCTCATCCTCACCAAAGAACGCATCCACTTCACTAAGTCACAAATAGCCCAGATCTCCCATAAAACCTTTAAACTCCATCTGTTCCTATCTGGCAAACCCTAGATCGTATTACATACGAACAAGCTATGAAGACGTATACACAATCTTCTGAAAGACAGAAACAGATATACATAAACCTTGTCCCTCACAAAAATCCACAATCCTCTCTACTTAACGTCAAGAATCTATCGAACAAAGACTTGTCTCAAGACACTAGATCTGCGCTTGCCAAAGGTCCTAACTTCGCAGTGGCACCTAGAAAGATTCCAAAGGAACAGATTATCAGCCAAATAGAGTCAACCATCTACCGACTTCCAGAACAAGCAGATAATATCCGGTAACCAATATCCTTTCCAAAACCAAACCCCTTCCACCTAACATTACTAGACAAGAGCGATTGGCTCTCCAAGAGATCTTAACAGGAACACAGACATCATCGTGCTTCCAGCCAACAAAGGCAGTAGTCATGAACATATCGAACTATAAGAAAAAGACGAAGAATCTTCTTTTGGACAAAGCATACAAAGCATACAAAAAGCTTGACAAAGATTCAATTAATACAATCGCACAAAACACCAAGATCTTAGTGGAGAAAAGTAACATTCCCAATAAAACCAAATCAACATTAAAACCCTCAAATCCTGTTCCACCAAGACTATACGGACTATCAAAAGTACACAAACCAAACATCTCCCTCAGACCGATTGTCAGCGCCATACACTCCCCGACATACAATTCATCCCGCTTCCTGACACAAACACTACAACCCCTTACTGGAAAATCCGAATCACACATAACCAACTCAACGGACTTTATAAAAAAAGATCTTTTTAAAAAAGATTCAAAAAATCCGACTACATCCCACAAACTTGCTTGTAAGTTTCGACGTAGAATCCCTTTTCACACAAGTTCCAATAAAAGACAACATAATAAAGACTTCACATAAAGTCCCCTCCGACTCTCAGTAATAGAGCACTGTTTAACAACCACTTACTTCTCCTATAACAATCAATTTTATGAACAAACTTCAGGAGCAGCAATGGGCTCTCCTATTTCTCCTGTAATTGCCAACATCTTCATGAAGCATTTTGAAAAAGAGGCCCTCAGGAAAACAGCTAAGAAACCAGAAGTTTGGTTCCGTTATGTAGACGACACACTCGTGATATGGAGATACAGCAGAGCCGAACTCCGTGAATTCCTTATTTTCCTCAACAATCAACACCCAAATATCCACTTCACTATAGAGGAAAACGGAAAATTCCCCCTTCCTAGATGTTCTTGTCTCTAAGAAAGCTGACAGTACCTTAGGCCATCAAGTGTACAGAAAACCAACACACACAGATAGATACCTACATGCCACCACCCATTACAGAAACAGTCTGCAATCAACTCACTTGTACATAGAGCTTTCTCCATCTCTGACAAAGAACATCTACAGACAGAATTCAACCACTTAAAACTAGCCTTACAGAAAAACTGGCACAACAAAAAAGGCATAATTAAAACTATCAATAAACATGCAAACAAGACAACGGTCTCTGACACACAACCAGATGATAAGATTCTGTTCATTCTCTCATATGTCAGAGGAACAACGGATCGGATTGACAGGATATTAAACAAACACAATATCCGAACTATCTTTAAACCACCCAAAAAGATAGGACAAATCTTAAAAAATCCTAAAGATCAAAGACCTCCACTCAGCTCCGCAGGAATATATAAAATACCTTGTTCCTGTGGGCGAGTATACATTCTGTCAAAAAAGTACCGGGAATTGGTCAATAAAACACAAAATAGTTATTATTCATTCAAATTTATTGTATCGCCTTCAAAGTAGGCTCCTTTCTAAATAATACAT